TACACGACGCTCTTCCGATCTCCCCAAAACCCCAAAACCCCTCTTGTTTTAAAAATAAAACATCGAAATAATTAGAAAATTTCTACACGATAATATGTGAATGTGTGATATATTTAAACAAGGATGATGTAGTCTGTCATAGTATATTAATATTATTTTTGTTATTATTGATAGTTTACGAAATGTTCTGCTACAATTATCTAATATTATCATTTAGCTGCTCATTAAAGCAACTCTCTGATGTGTTACTTTTGGGAATTACTAGCTAATTTCGACTAAGTCTCTTGAGATTTTTTTAAGCAGTTGACTTTCTCTGTTAAATGATTTGCGATATTATCTGTTCATGATCAAGAGAGTGTGCAAAATCTATCTAAATCTTCTCTGAGACAGTAGGATTTCTGTCCATAAATGTGTTATTAAAACTATCTCCCTCATTGGTAGTATGCTTTATAATGTTTGTATTTAAATTGTTGTTTATTAATGAATTAAGTTTGAAGGTACTTTGCTTTTTAAATTGTGATAAATTTCCCTTAAACTCTATACTCCCTAAATTGCTAGCCATTTGCTGTTGTTATTGATTGCTGTTTATCAACTACTCTTGATTATCTTACTGTTGTTAAGATTGTCGAAGCAAACTTATCCTCTATAGTTTTTAGTTACTAATGCGGCTTGGAGTGAATCCTTATCTGGACAGAGATGAACTCCCAACACTTACGTTGGTTAAATTTTAATGGGCTAATTATTTTATTTTGAGATACTTGTCCTAATTATTCAGGATTAATGCATTATATTTCTTCTTCATTGTGTCTTAAATTGGAAAGTTCTAATACTATTAAGAAGTCTATTAAGTTGATGACAGTGATTCAAGGGGAGAATCTTGCTTTTATTGATAATAATATTGTTATTATTTATTAGATTTTGTCGAGATAGATTGCTTTACAGGGTTATTTAGTAGTTTAAGTGGTTATATCTAAAAATTTGGAGTCTAAGAGATATTGATTTATTATTTAGCTTCTAAATTTTGATCGCTAATCATCAAGCTTAATCCATCTGGATTGGTAGAACTTGGTATGAATCTTTCTCTTGTTTCGTTTGGATTTATTCTATGAATTGATTATTCTGATATAATCAATCTTCTATTTATGGATTTTCTACTTGTTGATCTGTTGTATACTTAAGAGATATTGGACTCGTTAATTGAAATCACATTATTATTTAACTCATCTTTTTCAATCTTACTTGGCCTGATCAAGGGAAATCCATTATTTCTTTTCTATTTAGGAGGCTTAATATTTTGCTGCTAGTTTTTGATAATTTGAATGATTTACTTATTTTGATAATGATCTTTAGCCTCAATACTATTGATTTGTGGAGAAAGCTTAATGCCAAATATGCTGGGCTGTAATTACTCAGATTGTAGTGTCTTAGGTTAAATTCCTAACTAATTGTTTCTGGAGATTAAATTTGAAAAATTTTACAAATTCTTATATTTGTTTTACAACTATAGCCCTTAGATTTATTTTACTGTAGATTAGTTTTAGTTATTTTTGGAATGGAAACTATCTTATTTAAAATATTTTATTTTTTAGGGTGATATTACAGGAGGCTCGACACTATGTTCTTATCTTCCTTTTTATTTCAACAATTTCTTAAAGTTTTCAGTCTACGATATCATTCCTAGCTATGATTGAGACTGCTAGTTTCGCTTTTATAAATTCTAGGATTCATTTGATATCATCGAATCTTCTAATTGAATCTTGTTAATATCATCTAAATCACAAATTATTTTCTTTTGGGTTTCATCATTATTTCCTCCAAATAAAGTTGAATCCAGAGGAATTCTTAAATTTAGTTTTTCCATACTCTACTATACATCTGATAGAAAATTGTTTCTTTTTAAAGCAGACACACTTTACTGAGGCAGCTCATTTTCTGAGTAATCTCTTGACATGAAATCATAATTAGCATTGTTCCTCTTATGCACTTTTCACTTTACCATAGACTTTTTCGATGAGGGAATCTCCTAGGCATCGTTTTAATTGTAGTAAGCATCTTGAGATTCTAATGCATCTGAATTATTTCTATAAGAAATTAATATCTGAATGAATACCTTTAGGATTTATCCTGCTAGTCCTCGTCTCGAGAGTAAAAGCACAAATCACCACTTAGAAATGAATTATATTTATTCCCTTCATTCGATATTTTTTGATTACTTGTAATAGTAAGAGCGATTCCCTGAGAAGTTCTTATTTGTTAATAAGAAGTAGTTTCAGTTCCTTAACTTGGATCTTATGTATTAACTTCCTCATCTACTCTTGTGTATTTTTCAGATATTTGTTTCTGTATGTCACTTAACTGATTTCCAATGAAATTATGTCCAAAATATTCGTTTTACATTGAATATTTCAACTTATGATTTGACTGTAACCCATCATTCATTGCATACCCACCTGTAATTTTATTTTAGTTTGGCCTCATTTGTCTTTGGGACTTGATATTGAGAAGGGCATTGAGAGAGGCTGATATGTCCTTAACTTATTACTTTTCTTCCATGTATTACAATCAATCAATAACTAATAATTATTATATTTCAAGCACACTCCGATTACATATTGAATTTATAAATATGCATTCTACAAGTTAAACAACTTGCTCTTGGGGTTTTGGGGTTTTGGGG